GTAAGTGATGAGTCACTAAATTCTACACCTGAAACTAAATTACTCTTTAACTGGAATTTAAATTAAAAATTGAGAAAATTAAATAAATAAATAGAAGTTTCTAAAGGAGAGTCAGGGAATAAGTAACAATACTTTAAATGTATACTTCATTTAAAGGATTTTTTTAAAGGACTTTTTTTCCTAAAAAAAGAGATGTGTACAAAGTTGCACACATAAGGATGTCCAGGGCAGCATCGTTTGTAAAAGAAACTGGAAACAGCCTAAATGTCCAACAGCAAAGTCTTGATTAAATTAGTTCCCACCAGCTAATAAAAATGCCATAGAGACATTAAGAATATTAAAGATCGGGCGACTGGGTGCCTCAGTCAGTTAAGCGTCTGCCCTCAGCTCAGGTCATGATCACAGGGTCCTGGGATCCAGCCCCGCATCAGCCTCCCTGCTCAGCGGAGAGCCTGCTTCTCCCTCTCTCTCTGCCTGCCGCTCTGCCTACTTGTGCTCTCTATCTCGCCGTCAAATAAATAAATAAAATCTTTAAAAAAAAATGTTAAAGATCAACTTTATTGACATGGAAAATATCCACAACATACTGCCAAATGAAAAGCAAGTTTCACAGGTGCATAAAGAATATGACCCCATTTTTATCTTTTTTTCAAGTTTTTATTTAAATTCCAGTTAGTTAACATACAGTGCAATGTTAGCTTCAGGTGTAGAATTTTGTGATTCATCACTAATATAGAGTACCCAGGGTTCATCACAGCAAGTGTTGGTCCTTAATACCCATCGAATCTATGCCCCCACACCCACCTCCCCTCCAGCAATCCTGTTTGTTCTTATAGTTAGGAGTTTGTTTTCTGGGGGCGCTTGGGTGGCTCAGTTGGTTAAGTGTCTGCCTTTGGCTCAGGTCATGATCCTAGGGTCCTGGGATTGAGCCTCGCATCGGGCTCCCTGCTCGGCGGGAAGCCTGCTTCTCCCTCTCCCTCTGCTGCCGCTCCCCCTGCTTGTGCTCTCTCCCTCTCGTTCTGTCAAATAAATTCTTAAAAAAAAAAAAGTTTGTTTTCTGGTTTGCCTCTATCTTTTCTTTCCCCTCATGTTCATCTGTTTTCTTTCTTTTTTTTTTTTTTTAAGATTTTCTTTATTTATTTGACAGAGAGACATAGCAAGAGAAGCAACACAAGCAGGGGGAGTAGGAGAGGGAGAAGCAGGCTTCCCTGCGGAGCAAGGAGCCCGATGTGAGGCTCAATCCCAGGACCCTGGGATCACGACCTGAGCCGAAGGCAGACGCTTAACGACTGAGTCACCCAGGCGCCCTTATCTGTTTTGTTTCTTAAATTTTCTTTTTTTTTTTTTAAAGATTTTATTTATTAAATTGACAGAGAGAGACAGAGAGAGAGGGAACACAAGCGGGGGGAGTGGGAGAGGGAGAAGCAGGCTTCCCGCCGAGCAGGGAGCCCGATGTGGGGCTCGATCCCGGGACCCTGGGATCATGACCTGGGCCGAAGGCAGTCGCTTAACCAACTGAGCCACCCAGGCGCCCCTGTTTCTTAAATTTTCTTAAATTCCACGTATGAGTATGGTATTTGTCTCTCTCTGACCGATTGTTTTTAATTTATGAGAGAGTGCGTAAATGTGCGCACACCAGACAGAACTGGACTTCAGTTCTGGCTGTGTCATCTACTAGTTGTGTAGACTTGAGCAAGTTTCTTAACCTATTGATGCTTCAGTTTCCTCATGTTTAAGATAGCAATAACAGTATGTGCCCTATAGAGTTGTTACGAGAATTAAACGAGTTAATAAATGTATTCAGAATAGCGCTTAATTGATAGGATGTTCTCAAATGTTAGCTATTTTTCTTTCTTTCAGCACACACTTATTAGGCACCTACGATATACCACGCCTATGGTAGACATTAGGTACACAAAAGTGAGCTTAAACATGGTCCTGGCCCTGTAGGAAGGACAGGCCGTAAACAATAAACATACTTGTATGAAATCACAATTTAAGAAGCACACACTAGGAAAAAAATAGACTATATGAGAGATACTACTTGGCTAGAAGGACCAGGAAAAATGTCTCTCCAAGGATACAGCATTTATCCATGTCCTGGATGCTAATTAGGAGCTAATGACAGAAGGGGGTAGAGGCTGTAAAAGCAGTACACACATAAGGGACCGCACTGATCTTTGGTTTATCCTTTACATTTTCTTGAACAAAATGGAGATTGTGCCACATCTACTATTCTGCAACAGCTCTCCATATCAATACATCTTATTCCTCCGTGACAGCTGTATATTACGGAAGTGCCACAACTTAATTAACCCATTCCCTATAGATGACTATTTGCTTCCAATTTTTGGCTATTGCAAATAAAACTACAAACACCCCTGTGATACACCTTTACTTGTGAAACTGATTCATGCATTTCTATAATTGGGTCAGAAAAAACAAAACTATGTTCGTTTTGTTAAAAAAACTTTATTGATGCCTCTGCCCTCTGACGGCTCTCTAGTACTTTAAGCTTAAGGCACAGGTCATTTATTTCTTTTGTATCTCTCCCACTTCATACAGCCCTCAAATAATACTTGTCAAAGAGATTCCAGAGCCCCGCATTTACCCACCCCCAACGGACTTGCTCGAACAGGTGCCTACCTCAGGTCATTCTTGAGTTCCACGACCACATCCTTGCCCACCAGGGATTTGAAAAAGGAATAGAAGAGCTATTGGGCGAGAGAGGAAAAACCATCACCTGGGACGGTACACGGTAGGAAGGAGTGTCCCTCCCTCTGCTTGTATTCCCAAATACTGGTATTGGGATCCCCACCACATCTCTGGCAGTTCTCAAAACTTCACGGAAAACAATACCCTGACAGGGAGGACCACCTGGAGCCCAAATACACTTCACTTAGCATGACTTAAAGCTCCAGAGAGACGCTCTGCCCTGCACCCCTCGAGCTCTCCGGGTCGGTCTCTCAATCGACCACCTCTCCTGGGCTCCTGCCCACCCCCACACCCCCCCAACTCCCAGTGGGCAGAATTGTAGAAAGCATCCCATTCTCACCCTCCGTCACAGAAATACTCCCTGAGGTCTAGCTTTTCCCTCCCCTCCTGTCCCCAACTCTCCCGCGCGTTTCTTTTGTTTTTTTTCCCCGCATAAGGGGGAAAAAAAATCCCATTTGCTCCCAAGTGTGTCCCCCCCGAATGCGAGGCGTAGCAACTAAGAACAGAGGGCAAACCCCAGAGCCCAACTCCGGTCCCGAGGGTCAAAACCTAGACGGCCCCCCGACCCTCCCCTCCCCCGCGCGCCGTCTCCAACAGTCCGGCCCGCCCGCGCTCCCCCAGGGCGCCCCCCCTTGTGACGTCACGGTACCTACCATGGTGCTCAAGCCGCGGGCTGCCGGCCGGACCGAGAAGGCGAGGGCCGGGAACCGCGGGCCTGGGGCCGGGCGGCAACTGGGAAGCGAGCCCGCGCGTGGGGCGGGACGGAATCGCGCAGGCGCAGCGAGAAAAGCCGCGGAAGCTCTGAGTAATGACAGGAGCGCGCGGCGGACTCGCGACTCCAGGAAAGCGGGCAGGGGAGAGCCGAGGGGGCGTTTAAGCCGGGAAAGGGGCGGGTCTTCCTGTCTTCCCACTTCCTCCCGGAGTGGCGGGCTTCCACCACGCAGGCGCTAGTCCGAGCTGTTACCCGAGTGTTTGAAGAGGCTCGTCGCCTCTCCGGGGTTTTTTCTTGATAGAGCCGCCCACGGTGCTAACACCCTACAGACACTCTATTGAAAACTGTCGAGGAACTTGGGAAAACTCCTGATTGTGCACTTTTCTATATTCGATAAAAAGTTTAAAAAATAAAATGTTGCAGAGTCGCCGAGATTAGGAGCCAGAGCACTAATCTTGATTTTATCAAAGGTTCCCAATAAACATTTTTCTCCCAAGAACCCAATCTCAGTCCATGTTTTTTACACCCTTTTGCCTAGGGCTGTCCTGTAAAGGACTAAAACCAAACAGAAGCTTGCTCAGGGGTAGAAATTCCTATTCTAATATTTTACTTCCAAATATGCCCCCTCAAACACTAAAGGACACAAGTGCACAGTTACACAGACTTCTATACTCATGCCCCTAAGGGTTTTATAAATATGTGAGATTATGACACAATAGGTGAAAATACTTTTTTCGAGGAGTAAGACTACTAAATCCTCCATTTCTCATCTTGCAGAAAAGTATCCATTTGTCAGCAGTTTGTTGTAAAAATGTTTTCTGCATGTAAAGGATGTAATAATAGACTCCATGAATACACAGATGTTGGGTGTCCTAGACCCCACCTATAAATGTCATAAGGACATCAAGCAGAAGTTTGTTCCCCCCAGTTAAACCCTAAGCACCTAAACCAGTCTATCACTGAGTACCAGCAGAAACTATAGATAGCAACTGCTCTAGCTGGAGCTAAAGGCGCCTGATGATCAAAAGTTATTTTCCTGCTTGAAACAATTAGCTCATGATAATTCAAGTACTTTCCCCTTACCAGTTTAATTAATCACAATGATTTCACAATCAAACCACACTCACACTCTTCATGAAATCTTCTTTACCTTACTTTTCAAGGTACGCTCACAGTCTATAAAGATACCAGAAGAGGGGTGCCTGGCTGGTTCAGAAGAGCACACGACTCTTCATCTCAGGGTCATGAGTTTGAGCCCCACAGTGGGTGTAGAGACGACTTAAATCAATTAATTAAAAAAAAATAGGGACTCCTGGGTGGCTCAGTCATTTGAGCATCCGACTCTTGGTTTCGGCTCAGGTCATGATCTCAGGGTGGTGGGATGGAGCCCCCATCAGGCTCTGAGCTCAGTGTGGAGTCCACTAGGGTTTCTCTCTCCTCTCTTTATTTCTCCCCTCAGCGTTCTCACATATGCTCACGCATATGTGCGTGCTCTCTCTCTCTAAAATCAATCTTTAAAAATAAAAAAATAATAAACTTAAAACTAATAAATCAATAAAGATACCAGAAGAAATTTGTTTTAGGAAGAAATTTACTGAGTGACATTTAACCATCCACACAGGAAGAAAGTTGGGGAGGTCAGAAATAAATGACATTCGAATTCATCAAATGGTTCAGAGGGGCCTAGTTTTCCTGAGTCAGAAACATGGATTGTGAAAAGGTGGTATACAAGACTCTTTTGTCAGAACCCAAAGGGATGGTAACTTAGGTTCAGGACAGTCAATTTGAAGATGAGGGGAACAAAATTCACCTTAGAGGCACCCTAGAACCCTCCAGCTCCAGATAAGATTAATCTACTTCTTCAATGGTGGGGCCTGTGGCAGCCCTTCCAGGTGTATACCCCGTCCCACAGGAAGGCCCAGTGCATCCTCCCTGGTAGAGTTTTGTGATGATTGGGTTACACACCTGCTCCAATTCCTTTCTCTTATGATCAAACTCCTCTTTCTCAGCCAGTTGATTGGCCTCCAGCCACAAAAGGACCTCATTACATTTATCCAGTATTTTCTTTTTATCAGACTCACTAATCTTGCCCTTCAAGCCTTCATCACTCACTGCACTCTTCATGTTAAAAGCGTAAGATTCTAAAGCATTTTTTGCAGAGATTTTCTCTCTCTGGACCTCATCCTCAGCTTTGTACTTCTCAGCATCCTGCACCATGCGCTCGATCTCCTCCTTGCTCAGGCGGCCCTTGTCGTTGGTGATGGTGATCTTATTGGCCTTGCCCGTGCTCTTGTCTGTGGCCGTGACGTTAAGGATGCCGTTGGCGTCGATGTCGAAGGTCACCTCGATCTGGGGCACTCCCCTGGGTGCAGGAGGGATTCCAGTCAGGTCAAAGCGCCCCAGGAGGTTGTTGTCTCGGGTCATGGCCCTCTCGCCCTCGTACACCTGGATCAGCACGCCAGGCTGGTTTTCTGAGTAGGTGGTGAAGATCTGTGTCTGCTTGGTGGGGATGGTGGAGTTGCGCTTGATCAGGACTGTCATGACGCCCCCAGCCGTTTCCAACCCTAGGGACAAGGGAGCCACATCCAACAAAAGCAGATCCTGTACCTTTTCAGACTTGTCCCCCATCAGGATGGCTGCTTGCACCGCTGCCCCGTAGGCCACTGCCTCGTCGGGATTGATGCTCTTGTTGAGATCACGACCATTAAAGTAGTCCTGCAGCAGCCTCTGAACCTTAGGGATACGAGTGGAGCCCCCCACTAACACAATGTCATGGATCTTAGCCTTATCCATCTTGGCATCCCGAAGAGCCTTCTCCACAGGTTCCAGAGTGCCTCTAAACAGGTCTGCACACAACTCTTCAAACCGGGCTCTGGTGATGGACGTGTAGAAGTCAATGCCTTCATAAAGTGAATCAATTTCCAAGTTGGCCTGGGTGCTGGACGACAGGGTCCTCTTGGCCCTCTCGCAGGCGGTGCGCAGCCGCCTCACGGCCCGCTTGTTCTGGCTGATGTCCTTCTTGTGCTTCCTCTTGAACTCCTCCACGAAGTGGCTCACCAGCCTGTTGTCAAAGTCCTCCCCTCCCAGGTGGGTGTCCCCAGCTGTGGCCTTCACTTCAAAAATTCCATCATCTATGGTCAGGATGGACACATCAAATGTGCCTCCACCTAGATCAAAGATCAAGACATGTCGCTCTCCCTGACCTGCTTTATCTAAGCCATACGCAATGGCAGCAGCTGTGGGTTCATTGATGATTCTTAGCACATTGAGACCCGCAATCACGCCTGCATCCTTGGTGGCCTGGCGTTGAGAATCATTGAAATAGGCTGGTACAGTGATCACAGCATTGGTAACGGGGTGGCCTAAAAAAGCCTCAGCAGTCTCCTTCATCTTTGTCAGTACCATAGAAGAGATTTCCTCAGGATAGAAAGCTTTTTTCTCCCCTTTGTATGACACCAATACCTTGGGCTTGCCTGCTTCATTGATTACTTGAAAAGGCCAAAGTTTCATATCTGATTGCACTACAGGATCATTAAACTTCCTGCCAATCAGACGTTTGGCATCAAAGACAGTGTTCTGGGGATTCATGGCTACCTGGTTCTTGGCGGCATCCCCAATGAGCCGCTCGGTGTCCGTGAAGGCCACGTAGCTGGGGGTGGTGCGGTTGCCCTGGTCGTTGGCAATGATCTCCACCTTGCCGTGCTGGAACACCCCCACGCAGGAGTAGGTGGTGCCCAGGTCAATGCCAATGGCCATTCCCTTAGCAGCAGCCATGGTCTTCCGAGGCCTGAGAAGAAAAAATGAGGTAAAGTTTTGGCACAGGGCTTTTTTATTACTTTCAATTGTGGTAAAATACACATAATTTGAAATTTACCATCTTAACTGTTTTTTAAGTGTCCTGTTCAGCAGTAAGTTCATTCATATTGTTGACCAACGTCCAGAAAACTTAACTTGCAAACCTGAAATTCTATACCCATTAAAGCCACTCTCCATTCCCCTCCTCCCTCCAGCAACTACTATTCTACTTTCTGTCTCTATCAATTTGACTACTATTAATAGAATTACACAGTAATTTCTTTTTTGTGACTGGCTTATTTCACATAGAAAGATATCCTCAAAGTTCATCTATGTTACAGCATATGTCAGTTTCTTTACTTCTTAAAGCTGAATAATATTCATTATAAGTATATAACACATTTTGCTTATTTATTCATTCCCTCCTTGGACACTTGGGCTGCTTCTACCTTATGGCTATTGTGAATAATGCTGCCATAAATTCGGTGTACAAGTATCTTTTTCCAGTCCCTTCTTTCACAGAGAGTGCTTTTGGGACTAAAGTATTCTTAGCGAACTGGAAGCAAGTGGGAGGCAGTTAGCATACACTGTGTTCAATTTTCACAGGCCCTAACTCAACTGTCTTGTTCCTTTAGCTGTGATGTTTATTCTGCGATTGTACCTGTCCTCCTGCTGAACTAAGATTATTTTATAGTCTGGTCTCCTCAGGAGACATTAATCTCCACACTTCGATTTAGCTACCTTCCACAGCTCCCTTACCCTCAGTTAGGGATTTGTCGGGAGTACTATTGGGGCAGTCTGAAAATGGCTGCTAAGAACCCAATCAAACCCTCACAAACTTTCTCCGACGAGACTGAGCGCCAACAAGCAATCTTTCTCCAGTCTTTGGAACAACTCCTATCTGAAGACACTAACAGATCAGCTCCCCCACCTCTTTCCAGCAGCACTAACAAATCCCACCCACCTTGGCGCTTACCAAAGGACTCCCCTTCCCTGATTGGTCAATGCCCCATTACCTTAGACTAAAACTATAGAATGTTCCAGCACTTTCTCAAACACGGATCTATTAATCTTGCCTACTGCCATTCCATTTCAGTGAGAGCCCTCCAGGCTCACCTATTGTCCCGCCGCCTTCGATCCAGTTTGATAATGTTCTGATTGCGGAGCCCCTGAGGGTGGGGGCTCCTTCAACAACCAAAATGCGCAGCCGGTGTTCCCCCACCCCCCCCCCCCCCCCCCCACAACTTTTAGCGGACTCGGGGCCTCCCCTCCCGATTGCTTACTAACCCCTGAGGTCAGAGGCAGCCCCCCCATTGTAACGCGTCTAGGGGAGCAGCGTCAACACTCCCACCCCCACCCTGCCTCCCGCCCTCCCAGCCCCTCCCAGCCCCTCCCAGCCCCTCCCAGCCCCTCCCACCTTCTCGCACCGACTCCACCCTCCCCGAAGCCTTGCCAGCCCCAGCAAGCCCCAGAAGAGTCTGGAGAGTTCTGGGAGGGGCGGCACCCCGGACGCC